TGTATTAAGACGTTCTGAGAAAGTATGTGGCATCAATTTGAACAAGGCATAAGTTACTGAATAATTCCGAGATTTCAATATTTTAGTGAATTCTCAATCATGTGCTTATTCAACAACTATCTGTTTGTTGCTATCAGGAACCTGAGTTTTGTGTTTAGTTCATCAATAAGTGTTGGTGATGTTCTTGTCTTCTTCATTGAGGAATCGAAAGAAATATAACTTCAATCATAACTTCTTCTATTCTGAAAGTCCATAGCCCACTATTAAAATTCAATGCTTTATTGATTTCGAAGTAGTTCGGAAAATTTCATATTCATACACTTCATATCATTTTGAACGGAAGAGAATGAATGATTCAATAACCTCATGAAATACAGGAGGGTTTCTTTCAAAAAATCATAAGTTTGAGTCGTATCTACGGAACTGAACTCCAGAAAAAAATCGAGTGCGCCTCTGGATTGTGCGTAAAATTCCTTATTGAATGAAATTTCCATCCGTTATTTCCGCTGAGATATAGAGGTGGTCCGAGAAGTTCAAATTTCCAAAATTGTCCTGTATTGCATTCACGGAAACAGTAATGCAAAACCCAATCAGGCCATCTCGAGTTCCACTTAAAGGTCGCATAGGAACGCAAAAATAGTAAGTTTCATCTCCAAAGATATAAGCATCGAAAGCAAGATACCATTGCTTTGTGTTCTAGGAGACTGAAGAAAGTCCACTTCAAGTTGGTATGAAACTGTCAAAAGAGACTACACAGTAGGAGAAGTCTGGTAGTCATACTTAACCATAACAATGCGGTGGCTGAGCTACTTGTTAGGAAAGGAGCTAGAAAAAGATTTTATGCGTCTGAATCAGTAAATGACATTTCATGAATTGCTCACTGTGTAACTTGATAAGCTCTGCTTAGGGAACTTCAAATGCATCTATCTCACATTCCTCCATATCTACCAACCAACATATTTTACATATCACATGTTCTTCAGGAGGGTATCATTGAAATGATTCCAATTCACTCCTCAACATTTTCTGATATTGTTGTGATTCTTAAGGTTCCGTATAGCTTACTGCAATTCTTTCAGTTGAACTTTCTATTGAAGCTCCATTTCTCATCTTGAGTGTGAAATAGAGTGATATTGTTCTGATGATGATTTTGAATAGTTTCCAAGAGATGAAGAATTAGGTCGATTTGGAATTTCAAAGATTTTGGGTTATACTCTCAACCGAAAGTGATTCCTGATATTCACCATTTTCTTTCAAATAATAGATTTTTGTGTTGATACGGCACATTAGCCGCGAAAACGTGAAGTACCCTGTATAAAAACCACGGGTGTAATTTATTTTCGAATTTTGCTTCCCATGGTGTGGTCGTCATGAATGAAACATGGTTCGCCCTGTATGTTTAATTCTCCCTGATGAATGTGGCAAATTAAAAATACAAATTGTCCTGGTCTACATGATTCACCAGAGATGAATAGTTTGTTTAAAAAATAATTAATTCAGTACCTATTCCATGAAAGCTCTGTACATACATCATTGAATTGAAGTATGATACAATTCTGTAGTAGTATTATTTGCTGAAGTATAGTATGATACTATTTTGTAGTGGTGATAATTGATGATATTTAGTCACTGGCGCCTATTTTACTAAAAATTATCGGTATATATTACCGACTATCCCTCTCAGTGTTGACTTTCAGCTGAGTTACTGATTATTTATCCATCAGTTTTTTTTCATAATATACTGCAAATGCATTTAAAATTACATGTTCTTTTCTGACCGTGATATCATAAGCTTATTGCGTCAGTGTAACAACGCTATCAATTAAGAGGGACAAAACTCCCTTGGGACATTATGAATTCTATAATTCTCTCTACCTGCACAGCTTCATAACAAAGTTCTGATAGAAACAAGTAACATTGCAACAACCAAGCAACTCCTATAACGTAGAGTACGTGATTCGAATATAGCGGAAAGGTAATGAATTATTGCACTGAGGAAAAACATTTTTTGTTGTGAACAAATCGATTTATTTAGGTAATTCCATCATCTATTGGAGTGAATTATAATCTCATAATTTTCAGGAAGTGGAGATATTTCAACATAGATATCAATAAAAAAGTATGTTGAAATATGAGTAAGAGTGATTAAATTCCAAAGAATATAAACAAATTTGAATATGGAAAGAAATAGGTAGAGTTGCCCCGTCTTCATTTGGTGGATATTTTATATATGCCGTCTTGTTCCTCTCTATCGCATAGACACGACTCTCATTATGGACATTTGCCCTTGCATGCGAATCCACCCTATTGTTTTTGAGAAAAAAGGCTACATGCATTTTCGTGAAAATGTATCTGCTAAACGTTTCTGGAAAACGGCATATTCCTGGTGTTTGGTACACCTTCAGCAGAATGAATCAATGGAGTGAAGCTAGCTCTGCTGCACTGTCATATTTTTTATGCTTCTGGATTTCATGATTATTATACCCAAATAATCCTAAAAATAAACAATCAATTGTTCATCTCATCACCGCTGGAGAACTCTACAGGTAAGTCAACAGCTTTCCATTAGCATCAATTATTGAATCAGACAAGCAAAGGACTCAGATGAAAATATAGAATACTAATTCACTTTCTCTATTTTCAGAACCTGTTTACTTGGATCAGCACAGCTCGAGGCTTTCAACACTTCCTACAGGTGTACTGAACATATGAAGAATTGTGATATCTGGTGAAATGATCTTAGAAAACTGTGTATGAATGTTTTACCTATCAATAAATGTTTCATCTTGTGGAAGATGTTCATTGATCTTCTAACTCGATGCTCTCTCTGTAATTATGCTTTCTCGATGATAATAGTATTAGAAAGTTTACTTAGGATTTCATGGAAACGAAATGAAAAATCTATACTCAGCAAATTTGAACGCTACAATGTCATAAGTGAAGTCAGGTTTGTTCTCTCGTTCTTCTTAGGGTTGTTTCAGTTTCTCTTGAATAACTCAAGAATAACTGGAGCTCAACTAGATTTCTTGGCGGATCCTGAATCATGATTGAATTTGCTGAAAAATTCGTGCTCAACCTTCATATTTACCGAGATCCCAATGGTGAGGATCGGATTTGACTCACACTGTATAGTTTGCAAATGTGTCCTCAAGTCATGTACTACTTATTCAGCATTGATTCAAAGTTGCCAATATCATTCATTGATGACTGTGTGTAACAAAAATTCAATCGAAATAAAACAGGTATTTTTTCATTCCTCTGTTAGTTATTCAATGGAAATAAGTCATTTCGAGGAAGAAAACTACGGGATAGTGATATTAAATTGCAAGAATATTGCATGAAATAAGCTCTTCCACAACTGTTGAGAATAAACAGAGTGATTCATTGAAAGAAGAAAAGAAAAACGTATTCGGACTATCCCTGCCCTGTTTCAGTGCGTGATCCATTCATTATTGTACTAAATATCTCAGAAATTATGACTTGTCCATTCAATCCTCACGCGACTTCCAAAATTGTTGTCTGAACACACCAATCAATAAAAATAGGTTCCATGATTTACTCGCTGACGAGTTACAATTGTGCAATTTTTTTTTTGATGATGATCACCAATATTATTGGCAATTTCCTCGAATTCAATCGTTGAGTTCTGGAGAATATGATGTGGAATTCTGTCGAGATCTTTCAGGAATACATTATACAAACGCGCCATTCAATTTGAGGAAATGTCGAAAATCAATTCCGCGCCCAATTTTCTGGTGAGGTTAAACTTTCTATCTTGTCCAATTCTTCCAGAGCCAATCATCGAGATCATTGACAGACCATACCTATTTCGTCAATTTAGGTTCGACAATCAACATGACCTACACAGACACATCAATAAACAGAACGTATCCTATTTGGTTATTGCATCCAAAACACAAATTTCAAGATACTGTATAATACAAGCTATCGAGCTCACAGCGTTGATAGTATAGACATCTGATCAGCATCACAAATACTTCAATAGACAGAAATTGAGCAGCTTTACCTAAAGCCAATTTCCCTTTCCTTGTCTAATAGATTCGTTGACATCTTTCAGAAATACCTCATATGAACGCGTCATTTAATCCAAAAAATTGTCGAAGATCAATTTCACGCTCAATTTTCGTTGAGTTACAATTCTCAAACTTTTCTAATTCTTCCAGAGCCAATTTTGATCATTGGCAGCCCAAAACTATTCATCAACATAGACTCTACAATAAACCTGACTTGCACAGTTACATGAACAAACAAAACGTAGTCGATTTGGATATGGTATTCGGCTTCACAAAGCGCCAATTTGCTTCCTGTTGTGGTGCAGAGTACTCTCATTTTGATACACCCATAATCTCAGAAATTATGGCTCGTCTAATGGATAACTCGACACCAGGTATAGAAATCATCTCATCCTCACGCGAATTCTGACATCATTGTCTGGACACAGCAATCAATGGGAATAACTTGCATGATCAAATTTCTGGCGAGTTTCAACTGTACAACTTCTTCAATTCATTTGGAGCTGTTTACTAATATCATCGGCAGTTCTTTTGGATTTTATCATTGTGGTCTGAAAAATATGTCGTAGGATTTCATTAAGATCTTCTAGCAATACGTGATATATACGCGGCATTCGATTTCAGAAACTTTAGAAATCAAATGCTCGTTCAATTATCTGATGTGTTACAACTCTATAGCTTTTCCAAGTTCTTCAAAGTGAATCTCCAAGATCAATTGAAGCCCAGAGGCTCGACAATCAACCTGACTTTTCCAATTTGTTCAAAGCTGATCACCCATATCATCGACAGTTCTCTCGAATCCAATCATTGTGGTCTGAAAAATAGGTATGTCGTGTAGAATTTTGTTGGGACTTTCAACAAACACCTTATAAAAACGCGCCATTCAATTCTAGACTTTGTCAAAAATCTATTTCACGCTCAATTCTCTGATAAGTTATAACTCTCCAACTTCTCCAATCCTTCCAGAGCCAATCACCAAGATCATCGGCAGCCCGGAGCAATTCATCAACATGGGCTCGACGATCAACCTGACCTGCACGGTCCTCTTTTCCGCCGAGATCCACCCCAACATCATCTGGTCGCGGAACGGCGAGGCGATTGACTTCGATTCGCCTAGGGGAGGTATCAGTCTAGTCACCGAAAAAGGTTCCATAACCACCAGCAGGCTGCTGATCCAGAATGCTGGTCGGACCGACTCCGGATTGTACGCTTGTGCGCAGTCCAAGACGAACGCTGCCAGCGTTCGAGTGCATATCTTGAATGGTGAGTGCCAGAGACGAATGCATCAATTGCGGACTATCATCCGATATTTCTTTTATCGATATAGCCAAGTGGTCCATTCAAGACTTTCCTCCCTCGATATATCTCCCAAAATTATCATGAAATGACGAAACAGGTCGATTTTCATATGGAGGGGGACACTTTCTGACGCGAAATAATACATAATTCAACCCTTCACTCCCTAAAACAACCCCCTCAATAATTTTAATAGGGAATGAGGGTCGTGTTATACATCTTTGCGAAGGTAATTTGATTTTTAAACTAGCAGTGGAAAGTTTTTTGAATTACAACAAGTCATTCCTGAGATATTCGAGTTTGAATTATATATATGTTTTTCAATAGTGAGTGAATGCATGTGAATAAAAGATCCTCGAACAGGTGTTCACGAAAGCTGTTCAACATGACCTCCGTTGACTTCCATATAGTGGTACAGTCTATTTGGAAATTCCTCCTGTATGTTTGGGGATGTTTCTCCTGATATTGTCTGGCATTCGGTTTTTATTCTTCCTTACGAATAATCGTTTCAGAAATTACAGATTCCAAATGACCCCATAGGAAGAAATCATTGAGTGCCAAGTCCGTCGAGCGTGCTGGCCATTCTATTGGTCCTTACGACCTATCCAATTATCTGAAAATTTTTGGAATAGCCAATCTCTCACCTGTAATACGGAATGAAGTTGTTGAAAAAAAAAATGTTTTCTGCCGATAGATTTGGATTATCATGGTAATCGAGGTCCGTCTTAACAGCATCCATAATGAGTTGTCCGATTAGATTTCACAGCATATCCAAATAGACCATACCATTCATATCACCCTGGATGGATATTGAGCCAAAGATTTGATTATCCGAAATCCCTGCCCACACATCCAATTTTTGCAGCCATTGTGTGTGCTCTTCTCTCAGTAGATCGAGGTTATTCTGACCCCAATACCGACACTTGTGTCTGTTGACTGAACCGTTCAAATAAAATGAACACTCGTCACTAAAGCAAATATGCTTGATGAATTCGGGGTTCCTCTGTATCATTGTCGTTATATTTTCGCAAAATTCAAATCTTTCATCGAAGTCATCCTCATTCAATGATTGTTGAAGATTCATCATGAAATTCGTTTAGTTTCAGCACCCTCATTATCGACATTCAAGATATTCCTGTGATGCTACTCAGTTGTGGAGTAGACATTGTAGGATTTGATGCAACCTGTCCCTGAACTTCTTCTTGGTTGATTTCATTCGTGACACCATGCATCTCATTCATCTTTTCATTGGCAACTGATCCAGTCTCAAGAAATGTCGCTACAAGATCCAAGATATATCTTAAATGAAGAAACTGATAGGTTTTTCCAATTTCCAATAAATTGGTTTTCTGAAACATTCCAAGATATTCATCTGGCATTCAATCCTAATTTTTTTCTTCCACATCGTTCAGGTCAGTGAGTTTCGTTGTATAGATGAGGGATTTCATATCACTCCGTATAGAAAGAAATCATTGGGTGCCGAGTTCGGCTGTCCATTCTATTGATCCTCTACAGATATTGATGATCATGGTTATCGAAATCTATTGGCAGATTATATTTATTCCCAACAAGATACTGTGTCACCTCATTGCGTATTACAGTTGAGAGAATGGCTCCCCAAAATTTCCCAAACAAATAGAGATAGGTCGTGAAGTACCATTGAAATGACCAGCACTCTTGCCGGACATATCACCCAATGATTTTCTTTCTTTGGGGTTATTTGAAATCCGTTATTTATGAAACGGAATGAAATATGATCTGGACGATAAGTTGAGAAGAATTTGGGTTGAATGCCAGGCCAAAACTAGAGAAACTTTTCAAATGTGCGAAAAGAATTCCAATTATATTCTACCATTATCTGGGAGTCAATGGAGGTCATTTTCAACATCTTTCGTGAATACCTGTTCAATAATCTGTTATTCACATTCATAGAATCTCATCTAAGCTATGGCATTGCCTTCTGGGGAGTCTGTAGAAAAACACTTTTTAAAGTAATTTTCACTCTACAGAAAAGAGCCGTTAGGTACCTGTGTAAAGCAAAATTTAGAGAATCTTGTCGGCCTTTGTTTGCACGTCAAGGTATTCTTACTCTCACTTCACTTTTCATTGTAGAATCAGTCAGCCTAATTCATAAAAATAAAACAAAATTAAAAAATAATTCAACAGAACATATAACTCGGCAACAAAATCATCTGAAATTACCTTTACCATCGACTACCCTGATCAAAGACTCGGTTTTATATAATAGACTGAAGATGTATAACCACCTACCTACCTACGTGAAGGACATTAAAGATCATAAAATATTCAGGAAGAGTCTCAAACAGCTATTTGCTGAAAAGGCTTACTATGAATTAAAGGAATATTATAGTGATGTGTTTTAGTATTCATCTTGGAAATGTGAATCGTTATACCACATGATGATCCTTCTCATGCCATATTTTATCTTTCACATTGTTTTAAATTTTTATTATTGTATGTTACGTACTTATGTTTTATCTTCTCTTTGTCTACAAGAGCTTTTTCTTTTGACAATAAAGAATATTCTGATTCTGATTCTGATTCTGATTCTGATTCTGATTAACTCACAATTGAGAAACATACCAGTCGAACTCGAATATCTCGAGAACGACTTGTTGGAATTCAGAAAACTTTTCCACTGCTAGTTCCAGAATTGATTTACCTTTGCAATGATGGATAACACGACCCTATTTCCCTATTTTAATTATTGAGGGGATTGCTCTGAGGAGTAGAGGGTTGAAATTTGGATTACTTATTTCGCGTCAAAAAGTGCCCCCCTCCATATGAAGATCGCCCTGTTTCGTCATTTTTTTATAAAGCATCAGTTCTGGAAGATACCGATGATTGATAATCTTAAATGGACCACCCGGTATATCATCAGGTCAAGAGAGTTTTTGTTTGAAGAGACAAGGTTGAATCTTCTACTTTCAGAGAGTGTTCACAGATAGGTGTCGCCAAGGTGGTTCTAAAATTTCCATATTCGTTGAAACTCACAGTCATTTCGAATGATTATCCACTCGTCTTTAAGTTCCTATCAAACTACCCAGTAAATTCATCTCAGATTTGGTATGGAGCTTGAACTTGAGAATGATCAATGGATCTATCAGATCCAGGTTCAGCTTCTAAAATAAATTCACATTCATTTGAGATATGAAAATCACACTGTATTCGCCAATTAACGAAGTTCATCAAGAGAATTGTGAGAAGAAGAAGTCTACCTTTTGGAGATGAACAGAAAAAATTCAACAAGTATCTCGGAAACTATCAACTTTTGCATAATCCATATTAGGGTTGAATTCACTCCCTACCGCCTCCCCTATTACATCACCATAGAATGTATCGAATCACCAGTAACCCTGTATATTGGTGCTATGAGAATTACGATTATGATAAACATCATCATTTTATTTCTTTTTCATTCTAACAGCACTTAGCGTACGAATATGTACCACGCTGAATGATCGATTAACGATTAATCACGGATTTACGATTTGTGATCCATTCAAAAAATTTAACACGTCACAATGGCAATTTAATTTCTTAAACACATCATCATGACATCCAGACTATTTTGAGCATACCTCCAGTCGTTCGAGTCCTGTCTGGCCTGTTGATTGTAGGAACTCATACTCAAATTTTGTTGCAATCAGGAATATTCAAACAATTCCTGTTCGTATCAGAATTTTGCACTGAAAATGTATGCTGAATGGACAAAAGTGTGCACTTTCTCAAGAATACTACGTGAAATTGAGCTCCAACTTTGTGGGCAACTCATTCTATGTGTTGAGCATAACAATAAATGCGAAACACAATATCCATGTGAGAAAAATTATGCAATCAGAATATGGTTACAAACCTGTGAAATCCAAAACTTTTATCTCAGCGAATCTGAGAATTTGTATCTACTACGTCAGATAAAATATTATTCACGAAGGTCAGTGAACAAACCATTTCAACAGAAATCCATCTATTTTATGAACTAGACGCACATCTCCAATGATTTGAGTAATATATCAATCAACGATATAACTCATACGTACCTTGTTGGTTGCACGCAGTTGCATAGTATTATGTAGGTATTATGTTCTCAATTCCCATCCCCTTCGAATCATGTAGTTTAGCAGATGGGTTATTATTTGATTCTTGGAATCGTGGGATCTTGTCGAAGAGAGGAATTGAGAGTTCTCAAACACGTATTGTGATTATCGCGATCATAAATTCTTGTACACACTCATTTATTAACCACTCGATCAGTTTTGCTGCGCTTGTTCTCAAACTACTCATCACCGAAATGACCCTCATAATACTTGTTACATAATATAGTCGGGGCTTGTTTTGCGAAAAGTCAAATTCTAGAAGCATTTCATGTAACAATTGGATAAATGACGTTAACCCCTTATTTCGACCCCGCTGAATCCGAAAATACCGTTTATCAAGTCGAAATTCCAACCGGAAGTGAGATATTCAAGATGGCGTCCGAAATACCCCTAAAATATAATTATTTTCTACTTTCGGTCAGCTTTACGATTGAGGTGTCGATGTCTATGTTTTCGGGGGTGTGAAATACGATGAGACACTCAAAAAATGATTTGGAGCATTGAAAGTTCATCGAATGATCAAATTTTGACGAAATAGACCAAAATTCCAAAGAACTTGTGAAAACGTGTTGCATAATGTATATGCTTGTATACGCTTTCGAGGGTGCTCAATAAGTTTATGAGCCAAAAAAGCATTTGAACATTGTCCAAGCCTTCATTTCTTATATTTTGATAGAGCCCCTTGCAGCCACGAGTTCCAAATTCGGAAAATGAATTGGGAATAGGTGGCAAAGTCATCAGGATTGGGACAAATCGTCCATCAACAATTTTCCAGCCGTAGTTATTCGGGTCTTATAAATCAAGATACTGATCATGGGCCTCAATCCACACTAGTATCTGAACATAACATTAACATCCTTCGATTCGTTCAATTTTCTTTTACCTGGAAGAAGCACCGGAGAATGTGTTGACGAAGGGCATCAGTGGTAGATGGCGAAAAGCATTCGCACTGTCCAAAAAATTGCAACATGGGCTGCGTCTGCCGTTGTAATGTCCGTTCCAACTCAAAATAAAAATGGTAGTAGTATCGAAACGGCCAATAGTTCTTATTCACTATGTGTCTTAGAAAAAGGACGCAACAAACCTTGTATAAAGCTTGCACCACAAACTGTTCAACCAAACGGAGATCATCGGGGGCTAGATCGGGAGTTTTTTTCAAGCTGACTGAGGAGTTTACAGGAGTTTTCTTCTATGTACTTGCTTCCACTGTTCTGATTTTGTGACTGACGCTAACTCAAATGTAGTATCACATCCAGTGATTGCGTGGAAAGCCATCAGGTTTTTTATCTGTTGTGGTGCAAGTTTCTTACATAGTTCGTGAATTGGAATATACTCCATGCATAAAAACCGAAAGAGAGGCTGTTGTTGTTTCTGTTAAAGACACTGGTGTGATTTCATTATTCATCTATCACTTTGAAAGATTGAAATGCAAGGAATGCTGGGTGATGTGTGGTACTTCCCGAGATAGAAAGTATATTCCAATTCATGAACTATGTAGAAAGCTCACATCACAACAGATCAAAAACCTGATGGATTTCCACGCAATCACCGAATGTGATACTAAATCTTGATGAGGGTCTGCCACAAAAACAGGACGGTGGAAGCAGTACATTGAAGAAAACTACTGTAAACTACTCAGTCAGCTTGGAAAGACTCCTGATATAGCCCCCGAGGATCTCCGTTTGGCTGAACAGTTTGTGGTGCCAGCTTTATACAAGGTTTGTTGCGTCCCTTGTCTAAGACACATGGTGAATTAGAACTGTTAGCCGTTTTTGTACTTATATCATTTTTATTTCAAATTGGACCGGACATTACAACGGCAGACGCAGACCGTGTTGCAATTTTTGGGACAGTGCGAATGATTTTTGCCATCTACCACTGAGGCCATCCATCAACACATTCTTCGGTGCCACTTCCAGATAAAATTAACAAGAAGAAAAAGAAAATAGAAAAAATCGAGGGATTTTAATTTTAGTCTGTTTTCTTTTTAGGTACTAGTGTGTGGTTTAACGCCCATGATCAGTATCTTGATTCACCAGACCCGATTAATTGCGGCTGGAAAATTGGTGATGGACGGTAAGTCCCAATCTTGATGACTTTGCTACCTATTCCCAAGTCATGTCCCGAATTTGGAGCTTGTGGCTGCATGGGGCTCTGCGGCCACTGCGGCACGAAGCAGTGTGGCTGCAGGGAGCCGAATGGAGCAGAAAAGATGAGGAAGACTACTAATAGTGAACTTTTTTTTTTCAAAATATAAGAAGTGAAGGCTTGGACAATGTTCAAATGATTTTTTGGCTCATAAACGTATCGAGCACCCTCGAAAACGTATGCAAGCATGTACATTGTACAACACGTTTTCACAAGTTCTTTGGAATTTTGGCCCATTTCGTAAAAATTTGATCATTCGATGAACTTTCAAAACTCCATATCATTTTTTGAGTGTCTCATCGTATTCTACACCCCCGAAAACATAGACATCGACACCTCAATCGTATAGCTGACCGAAAGTAGAAAATAATTT